GGTCAAATTGATATAACTAAAGATCGAAAGGAGTGAAAACAAATCAATTTTCCACTGCAAAAGGATGTCCAAATTTTTAGTTGCATATTGAAATCCATTTTTGGCCTAGTAAACGTTCGAGTTGAAAAAAAGCTATTTCTAGCAAAGTTGTAGCCCTTTGAATTATCTTTCCAGCGCATTTTAAATCGGCTTAATCGGATAACGAAAACAAAGTCATTTTTGGATTATTGTCAATTGTAAAAGTCAAAGTGGAATTATGGGGCTTTGGCTGGGTCATTTTTACAAGATCCCCTATTTCAACAGATGATTATATTTATACCTCGGGATGGGGACAAGTATCTGCAATTCCAAACAGGGGTGCATCCATGATAAATGTACCGCCAATATTCCGGTGTTGCAGTGAAATAGTTTTAGAAATCTGTGGACGTAGTGTGGAACATTTAATATTGGTTTGATACTTAGTAGATTGAACACAAGATTTAAATTTTCTTTTATTTTTGAATACCGAACAATCCATATTACTAAATGAACCATGATTGTGCATACGATTTGAACAACTCCTTTGTCTGTGATTGATGACAGGTTGCAAATACACTTTGCAATAGACAACTTGATCTGAACATTTGATACAAAACCCATAAACCTGGCGGACCCAGCACCTGGCGAGCCCCCGCGGTCGCCCGTGATGGATCCACCAAAGCCTTCAAACCGTCGGGCGCGCCATTTGCAGATCCGCCGCTGCAGTGTGGAAGACAGGAAACCAGAAGCCGAAGAAGATGACTTAGGTTTTGGGCCTAATTTTTTTTTTCGGTTTGCCATTGTTTGGGGCATTCAGGCTGGCCTTTTAAAAAAAAAAAAAGGCCCAAAGGTGCCAAATCCAATCAATGGTCCATGGACCATAGGATATATATGTATTTTATAGCTCAACTTGTAGTGCCAGGTTGCCCGAGAGAGAGAGAGAGAGAGAGAGCCAAAGACGAGGAGAAGCACTGAAGCCGCGCCGTGGCCAGTCTCCATTCCCACCTCTCTAGTCCTGGTTCGATTTGCCAAGCTAGTCGCCGACGACAAACTCGGACAGGACACGGATACTCCTCGTGCTGCTTTGACTGGTGAGCGCCATTTTCCTTCTCGAATCTCAACTATCGCTCTTTTTTTTTTTAGTTTTTGTTTTGTGAAAGAAATGAGAATTGTGATTTATGATTAATAATTTGTGTTGTATGAGTTATGAGTTATAAATTGGGATCTATGAGTTTTGATTTGTGATTTGAGAATTTAAGTTAAAGAAATTAGGAATAAGTGAAAAAAAATTAATGGAGAAGATGTTGGGCTTAATTCAACCATGTGAACACCGTGTTTTTAATCAATTTTTAGTATTATTTAATCAAATTTTAATAAATAATCGGGCTATTACAATCGTTTATAGTCAACGATCAACAATGAAGCTCCGCCCTAGCTGAACGTCGACTCTGGGTTATGCATCCTAATTTCTTGCGCAAATCATATCAAGGCATTGTAAATCCCACAAAAAAATTGTGCTCGTACTGAGACTTTTAATCAGTGACACTGTTCAAGGGAATCCAGTCAAATACACATAAAAGAATATAATTACATAAATGATTTACGCAATTCAATAATTAAATATTTTACTTAATTTAATAAATCGAATATG